TTGTCTCTATGCCTGGGAAATTAGAGTCTGTCATCATGGATTCCTTGGTCAATATCCACATCAGACAGTTCGTGCTTAGATTGAAATCTTCTCTTGAACGTTCAGAACATTGCTTTTTTTTTTTTCCTTTTTTTTTTTTTCTTCAGAACACTTCTGGTGTTTGTGACGAATGTTTCATGAGTTTGGTGATCCCTGCTTCCTTTGACTGTCTGATCTAGCCAAATATAATTGAGCTAGCAATCAATTCCCCATGTAGGTCATATTATCGAAATCTGTCATTACAGGGTTGAAAAAGCAACAATTTTTGACAGATTATATACCAGAAACTTTTTTTAATAGTATAAATATGAGTCTCCTGAATAGAAGCAACTGCTTCCCAGTTTTGTTCTTTAATGTTATTGTTCTGACATGAAATATTCCTTCCTTGCCTCACAATGTGAAGGGATCTCTGTAATACTTCATAGGCACATTGTAGACATTTTAACTCTACTTTTTCCCCTGAACACATCAGAGCATCCTTGCAAGAATACACAAGATCCTTTATAGTAACTCTCATGAGTTGGAAAAAGTTAAGCTTTTATCTGCAATACAGCATAGAAAGTGATGTGTCAGTGACATCATGTAGCATGACAATGAGCAAAAAATATTTGTAGAAGTATTAATCTTTAGTTGATGTAAATCAGTAAGATAAGATTTCTTGTACAGTGTGAGGAAGCATTTCTTGGTGTTCAAAATTTATTGTCCGTATTTTTTGACGTACATTATGTCATCTTAGAAACTCAAAATGAAAGTGTTTTATCTAATGCTAACTTACTGTGGTCTCATCACTATGATGTATTGTTGATGATATTTTTACCCCTGTATCTAAAAAGTACATAGTGAAGTTTTAGAAGCAAACAGTAGATGAGATGGCATCACACTTGTATCTGTAGTATGCAGGCAGATGCCCATGAGAGGCGTGTTCATCATCCCTTTGCATTTGCAAACACTTTCAAACCAGCATTTTTAGGAGGCATTTGGAGATTAAATCTGATCCTATCTGAACAGTCATCCAAACATTCAGCTATAAATTTCTGTATTCCTATTCACTTGCTGTGAAGTTCAATATTTATGTGTTTAAAGATGATTTTCCACAAACGTCTTTTAGGCTTTCAAAATGAGGAGACTAGGGTAGGGTGAAGCTATGAGACACAACTAAATTCTCTGCACATTTCTAGACTGTACTTCCACTACAGAGCAAAGTGTTGGAGGAGTTATACCCCACACTGGCTCTTTGTATGCATTTATGCCTATAAATGAACTGAAGCCTTTAGCGTGAAATCAATGCTTATATATTTTGTTCTCTAAAAGTCAGGCATCCACAGCTGTGCATCAAACAGTTGTATTAATTTTAAAGTGAGTGGGAATCTTGTCTTCTCATTTTTGTACTTGAATAATAAAACACTGAGGAAATTACTTACTCTTCAGATCTGAGCTGTGTTCCATTCATGTTCCACGGCATCTCATGTTACCGTAAAGGGTCTGGGGAATGCTTACTTTTAATTAAAAATACATACCCAAATTATATGACATAATTCAGTTCTAACACTTCCAATATAAACTGTCTGTCTTTCACTAACAAGCATGTCATTTTATCTATTTGATCTTGCACCTTGTTGAAGCAACTGCAGTGGAAAGTTTGCAGGAACTAGCATCTATTAAAGTAAATCTCATTCCATATGATGCAGCTAATTGTTTAAAACTTGTTTCTCTGAAACACTGCTGTTAATTTTTCTCCCTTGGAGCAGGTTTCCTTTGTAATAATTGTCCTTTGATTATCAGCAATTCTCTAATACCTGCTCTGTCATTTACCTGACTTATAGCTTCTGAAGTTCCAGTTTCCTGTAGATCTTGCATTTTTCATGCTTCTCATGTTTTATTTGAGGTGTAACACAGCCATGTTGGGTGCACAAAGATGCTGCTGGTTTTCTTCTCCTGTGTTCCGAAAAGCTTGCAGCTAGCTGGAGGTGTGAGGGGTGTTGGCATTTGGTGAAACTGAGAATTGTCAGAAGGGAAAAAAAAAAAAAAAATCAAGAAAACCGTTCATCTGGTTTGGATTGATACATTAAACTGGTTTACTCTGTGACTCTGTGACTGTGCCAAAGTTAATAAAACATTGGGATGAACAGGATGAACTTTGCTTGCTATGTTCAAAGGCCTTCTCCTTCCAAAAGCAGCTTTCCCCTCAGATACCATTCAGTTATTGCACATCTCCTCACCACAAGTGATTCGTGCACGTTCTAATAAGCAGTCGGTGTCCCTGCATGGAAGCCAAATGTGCTGAGATACCTAAGTGTCTTTGGGTCCCAGCTGTCCTTAGTTGCTTTTATGTGGTCTGGCCCTGCGGGAAGAGGAAAGAGTGAAATGCTGGAAATCACCTCTGAGGTTTGTCCTCTCTTGAAGCAGAGTATTTGCATTGCTATGTCAGACCACTGTTGAGAGCTGCTCAAAGAAGTCCTTGAATTCAAAGGGAGCTTAACAGGATAAAGATCTATATTGACAAACACTATAAGAAGGAGGTTTTGGTAACTTTTTTTCCCTTTTGCCATCTAAGAATGCTCTTTTCTCCCACATTCTGTTGGTCATGCAATCTGCCATGATTTGCAAGTACCAGCAGCGATTAGAGGTCCTCACTGCCTTTTTCAAGTGCTGGGTGTTGCAACACTTTTTTTTTTTTTTTTTTAACCTTATGATATTCTTTACTGAAGAGAGCTTACCACTTTCTGAAGAACGAGCCTTTTGAAAGGCCGTTGCTTCTCTGTGCTACTCTTTGGAAGGATGAGGAAATGTAAAGGAAGGTAGATTTTTAGTGAGGTAGCTCCTACAGAAATATGATGGCTGTCAAGCAAGCTTAGAGCAATGTTTTTGTAGTGACACAACATTAATTGGGATTCTTATGACTTAAAATTGTCATGTCTTATTTACTAACTCCAGTTCTGGAGGTGAAAATCCAAGCCTTTGTAAGACTTAGGAAGACACTGTATATCATCAAAATATATCCGATATATCAAGATACACCAGAAGATATATCCATAAAGGAGCTTAACTGCATTACATGAATAATTTAGATTAAGAGCAGAATTCTCCTGTTTGTTTTTTTTCTCCACCAGTCTGTCTAGAGATCAATTTATTTCTTAAAATTCTCTCAATAATGGCTCTGTACTTCCTGGGCTAATGAAAAGTAGAGCAAAAAAATGTGTGTAGGTTTGCTTTTTGGTCTATGTAATGTTCTTACTGAGATGGAAGTTCCTTTTCTTATCTTCATGATCATAGCTTCATTATCTATTCAAACATGAAGATCTGGAAGTTCTTGTCCAATCTAAACTTAAAGCAGGACTTTCAAAGTAAAAGTAAGAGTTAAGTACTTCAGAGTGTGGCAAATCCCAGAAGTGATTGCCTCCTCATCTGGTGGTAACATGCAGAGGTATATTGCATAGAGAGACTGACTGGTGAAGGGATTTTTGTTGCAGGTGTTTGCTGGGGCAAATTTGTGTAATTTGTGTTCTTGACAGTCGAAATACTAAAGTAGTGCTCGCATTAATTGTAACTGAAAACTAACATTTTTTAATTTTAAAAGTTTCTCTTCCACAAATGTTTGTAATTCTTCTATGCTTTCTAGCAGAGTTTGAGTTAGTATATTGCATATCAGTTGGGATGACATAAATGGGAATGACCTGGAAAAAAAAAAAGCCAAAAAATACCATTTGCTTCTGTAAGGGACTTTTTGTGTTACAGAAGAACCTTGAGTCTTGGAAATGCAATTAAGCTTATACTGGATCTTGTTATTCATGCGTAGTTACTGGCACTCTCAGTAGGTTAATGAAGTTTGAGAGAGCATCTCTTGTGCAAGTGGGAAATGCAGAAATTAAGTGACAGAACTTAAAGTTAATGCACGTTGGCTTTAAACTCAGTGTTGATTTTGTGCCTACTGTTAATCGGGTAGCAATTTTACCTTTGTAAAGAAGTAAACAACAAAAGGTGTTTTTTAGGATTATAGCCAAGGAGTGAGAGCTATACAGCTAAGGAGAGTCATGTACCAAATGTAGGTAATTCATTTCATTTGTGAAATGTCACTGTACAAAACTAAGCAAGTGGACACATCCTCAGAAGAGGAGGATTGACATTGCTATTCAAGTGTCTATGCTTGTAACAAGTAAATGCAGAAGGGTGGAGAAGTCTACCTACACTCAGTAAATCGAAACCAAATAGAAAGCCTATGTAAAAAACCTTCTACAAACATATCTGTCTCTGAGGTTGGGAATAATAATATTAACTATAGTTAAAAATAAAAAATTTATCTCCGTGGAGCTGAGTGGCAGTCTGCAAAAACAGAATATACTTCAGCAGACTGATCGTAGGCAGCTGTCTGAAAGATATATCCTTTAGGGGGAAAAAAAAACGTACTTAATTCTTTAAGAACTGTCTGTTTTAAGAATAAGATTGACAAAAATCTCAGCTATGGAAGCATGTAAAGAATTGGTCATAACCTTGATATATTTTTCAATAAGGATCTCTTAACTTGGAAGTCTGTGTGTGAATGGTCAAGGTGGAACTCTATTACAGAGCTTGTGCCTCAGACATTATTTTAAGAATTATTTGAGATTGCAATTGAAATTTATCTTGTGTTTACCATGTCAAGGAAGATAAATATGAGGAAATTGTTGTTGGTCTTTCACAAAACTTCTTAGACTAATAAGTGTTTTATTTTGTCTAAGGCTTATTTTACATAAGTTTTACTAACGGACCTGGACCATAAATCTTTCTCAATCCAGATACTTCTTGCAGACTGCTGGAGAGATACCAAGAGTAATGGGTTTTATAGCATAAACATAGTGTATACAAAGTGATTCCTATCATAACATCAGCTGTATAATTTCAGTGCAGCAAGCTCATTAGTAACTATGAGTCCTGACAGTCTGTTCAGTCACCATACTCTTAACTTTTAATTTTCCTCTCTCTAGGCAGAGCTAGTGAAAGGGAACCTGCAAAGCGTTGGCCTCACGCTCCGCCTTGTGCAGTCCAAGGAAGATGATGCAGGGCATGTTGTTATTGAAACAGTTACACCAAACTCACCTGCAGCAGCTGCTGATCTACAGAGGGGTGACAGACTCCTAGCCATTGGCAGTGAGTAATATGTCAGCTTTCAAAATAAGCGTTGTCTTGCAAACAGGAAGGGCATTTCCATTTAGAGTTCAATTAGACTGCTGTTCTCAACAATTACACATGCCTAATCACATAATAAATGCAACACTTATATATTTATTGCCACTTAAGGTTATTCACTCGTTCATTTCTCTTGCGTATTTATTTACTATTTGCTGGGTAGAAGCCAACATAAAGGTAAATAAACATTTCAATGTAAATATATTTTAGCTACCCAAAAAGTGTTTAAAAAAAAACAAAACAAAACAATAACACAAAACTGAACTGTGCATGTTAGTATAATTTCCAACTCCTGAAATGATATATTTGTATGGATAAAATTAAAGGGATCCAGCTGTTACATTTCAGTTTAGCTCTTTTGTCATAATTGCTTGACTTCCTCTTAGTGATAATTCTATTGCTCACTGTTAAAGCTCTAAAAGTATGTGTAGACACTTTTGGGGTTTTTTCCCCTTTATTATCTTATTATAAAATTTAACATTTTTATCTTTTTTATAGGTGTTAAAATCACATCAACTGTCCAAGTGTTGAAGCTTATTAGACAGGCTGGGGACAAAGTCTTAGTTTTTTATGAAAGGCCTGTTGGATATAATCAACATGGTTCAGCACTACAGGATGGATTTGGACAATTGGAAGATGCTGCTTTCTTGACACAGCAAGAAGATGACCAAGTTAATGTATCAGCTGATGTTGACAGCAGAGATTTTGATTCAGAATTCGAGGACTTAGCATGTGAATCACCTGATCAAAAAGAAGATATGCCAACAACTCCAAGTCCCAAACGTTCAGTAGTAATACTTGCTGCTAAACCACTTGGAACCATATCTCCAATTCTGAATCGAAAACTGCATTTAGGAAATTATCAGACAACATCTAAAATGCAACAGAAAGATGGAGCCAAACTGGCAACACCCAAAGCCTCTGAGAGTTCAGATGCATCACTGGTATCAGGTAAGCAGTCACAAGGTTCTGGTGCTAAGCCTCCTGTTCCACCTAGACCACAAATTAGGCCTACTTTGCCTACTAATGAAACTCAAAATCAGTTGGAATCCGGAGGTGTACCTTCTGAAAAAACAGAGAGGCCACCTCCGTCTTCAGGTAATGGAGATAAATGTACAGAGAAAGTAGTAAAGAATAATGACCAAACAGAAGACCCAACATTATCAAAAGTAGCAGCAATACCAAAACAAGATGCATTAAAAGATGGAATTTCAGAAAATGCACGTGGTCACAAAGATGGTGGAGATGATCATCGAACTTGGGAATCACCAGAAATTCCATATCGAGTCCGACAAGGTCGGTGGCCAAAGACAAGAACATCCTCCTGTCTGTTTGAAGTAGAAGGATCTCATAAGTACCTTAATGTTGCACTGTGGTGCAGAGACCCTTTCAAAGCAGGTGGTTTTATCTGCCTAGGATATGCAAGCATAAAACTTGAAGAAATTGCTTTAGACTGTATAGCTACATCATCAATGGAATATGTTAGAACATTTAAATTGAGTGCTCCTACACCTAAAGCAGCAGTCACTAGAACGGCGTTGAGGAATTTGACAACCCATAAGGGATTTAATGAAAAGTTCTGTTATGGTGATATAGCTTTACACTTTAAATATTTTAAAGAAGGTGAAGCAGATGATTCAAATTTTCTGTTGGAGAAAGAAAAGGAATGCCATCTGGAAGAAGAAGTTAATGTACTTCAGAAAGAGGATCCTTACATGGGACAAATTGTTCTTACTGAGAACAAGCATAACTTTCAAGATACTCAGTTTCAGAATCCAACTTGGTGTGATTACTGCAAAAAAAAGGTATGGACTAAAGCAGCTTCACAGTGTATGCTCTGTGCTTATGTTTGCCATAAAAAATGTCAAGAAAAATGTCTAGCTGAAACGCCCTTCTGTGTAGGAGCTGAAAAGCGACATGATCGAACTGCAGGAGGTTGTAGAGCAGAAGGACAGGAAACTTCCCAAGCTGCATCCATTCGTGTCGATTCAGAGTCTAAATCTGTTAACAGGACTGCAGGTTTGACCAGGCATATCATCAATACAAGTACTCGTTTGTTAAACCTCCGTCAAGTCCCCAAAGCTCGCCTTTCTGAGCAGGGAACAGAGATTGTAGAGCCTTCACCAAAGCACACGCCAAACACTTCTGATAATGAAAGTAGTGATACTGAAATTAGTGGTCCAAGTAGTCCTTCAAAACGTGCATCGGGTAGTGGGATAAAACTGGTCAGAAAGGAGGGTGGTCTAGATGACAGCGTCTTCATTGCAGTTAAGGAAATTGGGCGTGATCTCTACAGAAGTCTACCCACAGAGGAACGTTTTCAGAAATTAGAGTTTATGTTGGATAAGTTGCAGAACGAAATAGACCAGGAGCTGGAAAATAACAATTCACTTGTTAAAGAAGAAAAAGAGGCAACCGAGGCAAGGAAAAAAGCATTGATTTCTGCTGCGCTGGCTAAATCAGGTGAAAGACTGCAAGCCCTTACACTGCTGATGATCCACTACAGAGCAGGCATTGAGGATATAGAGTCTTTGGAGAGCATGTCCTCAGACCGGCAGTCTAAAAGAGTGACTAAAGATTCAGAGGAAGCCAGTATAGCAGAAGAAGTGGATAATGAAGATATTGGTCTGACAGAGGCTCCGACATTCAACGTCATATCAGATGAATCAGTTGATCCACCTCAGTCGGTAGACTGATATTCACGTTTAGCCTTTGAAGGACCGGACTTAAACAAATGCTTTGCACTTAATTACAGACATACAGAACGAATTAAAACGCTGGTAGAACACACCTGCTTCTCCACGGTTATTTGCCTATGTAAGAGTACAGCTGATAATGGTTCTTCTCCAGCTGCAGCACCATCGTTTTGTTAAACTAGCTGGTTAAAACTGCATTTTGGGGTTTATATTGGAAATTTATTTTTAATAACTTATTTTCATTTTTTCTAATTTTGTAACCTTACCATTTCATATTAATGTGTGGTGTCCCCCACCACTCCTGGACCCCCTTCCCCCCCCCCTTTTTTTTTTTTTTTTTTAATATAATGATTTCAACACGAAACTATCAGGATTTTTTTGAAATATTTAGTTTCCATTTTTCTGTTTTATGATTAAAAGAGAAGCTTGTTGCATGCCTAAGCGGATGACTACGCAGAAATCACTGAGGGACCAGGCTTTAAAATTTTGATTGCAGTTACTTTGTCTGCTAGGCAATTGTGTATTTCTTGCCAAACATATCATGAAAACAAACAAAGCATCTTTTTTTTTTGTCTGTTATTAATACTTGTTAGAGTGATTGAGTATTAGATCACTTATTTTCCATACTTTCGTTAAATACAAGAACTTGTCATAGTTCTTAATATCATTCATAGCAATGCTACGCAAGAAAATGCCTCCCTGCAATTTCAGGACATCATATCCTGATTTCATAATATTAAAAGGATGTACCACTATCTCCCAATAATCAAACTGGGACTATTTTTGAGATGAAGATTCTGGTTCCTTCTGAAACAAGGTTGTCTTCAAGTGTTGGTGTATATCTGAAAAGCTGATAAAAGAAAATTGTGTTTTGCAAGAGCTGGAGGTTTCATTGCAGTCTATAAAAGTGTAAATGACAGTTTTAATTTCGAAAGTTTTAATATGTTGCTATTTTAATATTTATAGTTTCAGAAAGCCGAAGGTACAGAATAAGCAGTGATGACAAAATACCTGAACCTTGTCTTTCAATGTTTTTGAGCAGTCATATAGTGGTGAATTGCATTCAGCTTCTCAGACAAAAGAGGCAGTCTGAGCAGAAGGATCACCTTTTTCAGAACGACGTCGTACAGTGTATATACCATGTTTTAGTTAAGGCAAAATAAGTGAGTCCAGTAGAGAAGAAGAATTCTGGCCAGCAGCTTTTGAAAAGAACTATCTGTTCTTGTGCTATGTGTGAATTGTGGATCTTAGCATCACCTGGCTGAGGCCATTGTTCTTATTTATTTCCTGTAAACATGACTTCAGCTTCATCTTCTGTGTATAGAAATGCCATATAAAATATCATCTTTATTTTAGGTACTGCGTTAGGTACCGGTGTCATTATCGCTGTAGTAGAAAATGCCTTTGTGGGAGTGGAGTTGATTCTAAGGTGGTAAAAGAAATAACTTAAATTTCCAGGCAGTGTACAATGTAGCTCTCCAATCAATTTTCTTCTCAGTTTATTTTGTGATGGGCAAAATGAAGAAGCAGTGATTTTTGAGATGGAAAAGCATACTTGTACTCCTAAACAAAACAGTTAACTTCCACTCATGCAACTACTTGCACTTTCTTTGTGAGTTCTGGGCGGTTGGTAATTATTTAGTTGATGTATGGAAAACACTATCCATGCTACAGTTGGCATGTGTCACACTTCAGAAATTAAGCTTCAGCAGATAATCGCACAAAATTAGCTTCCTTTATTGACTAAAAGTTGTTTAACCTATACTTGCTTGAGATGCGTACTAAGACTTTCCCACTCCATTTTCTCAGAGGCTTACCATTGGTGGTGATCTGTATTAAATCTCCATCAGTGTTTGCTCGTATGGACTACTATAGAAGTTTTCAAATATATCCGAGTGCTTCACTTAAACCCTGGTGCACATGAAGGAGCTGCGAAAACAATGCAAATACTGATTTCAAAAATGCATTCGAGGTTTCACGTTCAGCTGTGAAATACAGTGGGTAAGAAAAGCTGGATATGGTTTTCCTTGTATAGTGTCGCTGATGATGATTGTAACAGAGAAATTAAATGTAGTGCAATATTTTTAAACATACTGAATGGGAAAAGGGCAAAATAGTTGTATTTTAGTGATAAGGAGGAAAACATAAATTCCTATCTGGCATTAATTAAAATAAATGCTAAATCTTGAGGAGGAAAAAGCGTAATACTACATTCCTGATGTAATCCTTGCTTTGTGCTTGATTGTAAATAGCTGAAAATAAAGAATACCACAGAAAACAAGAATATCTTGAGTTAATGATATCCCATAGGTGGCAGCTACACACATTTGCAGAAACTGCCTAATATGATTTTGTTGGCTATTATTTTATCATGAGAACAAGCTTTAATAAAATAGTTTTGCTAAATTATCTTCTTCTTTGCATTGTCTTAGTATTTTTTTTTTTAAATGTTTGTAGTTGCATCTTCACTACTTGAAAAGGAAGGTACCTTTGGGAGAAAAACATTTTGCATTAAATAAAATTACTGAGTGCTGAATCGGGCTTTTATGCATTCTTTGTATTTGGATATGCATTTATTTTTCTTCTGTGCAGTTTAACAATAGGCAGGTTCAAAATGGTGATTCTGTTGTGTAGCTAGAAGATATTGTAAAATGCAGAGTGTGGTGTTAATTTGCTTTTGTTTTTGCTAGTCAGTTATCGCTGATAGTTGCTTCCAATGGAGTTGGATTGGGAGGGGGGAAGGACTAAGAAAAATTCTGTTTTGTCCTGTCCTTTAGAAAACGCAGTGTGTAACTAAAGAAGTCCTTACTGCTTACTCACACATTTCTGTCTAATCGTTCTGATTTTCATTCTAATTCCCCATATTTGAAATCAGTCATGGAAGTTTACAACCTCAGGGGAGGAAAAAATATACTAAATGTGGGAGAAGCCCAAATTTTTGCAGCATAGAATGTTTTCTTCTCTGTTTTTCTGTGACTGAAGCAGCTCTCAGCAAGGAGAGTACTTGGTTACTGGCTGGTAACATCCACTTACTCCTCCAATCCCCAGAAAATCCAACATGCAGGATGACTGTGAGCTGCCTGCTGTTTGGTGGCAAATGCAGAGCACACTTCCCAGGGCAAAACTGTGATCATCCAAATGCCCTGTGAAACGAAAACGTGAACCAAATGTAAATTGGCCATCAATAGGCACAGTTGTCTCTTGGCGGCAGTGAAATACTCAGTGTGCTGCAGAACCACGCTCTGTACTCTGTTGCTGTCTGTCTCCAGGACCTCTCAGCTTTGAAGGAAGATTCTCCATCTGTTACATATTCACAAGAACGCAATAGAAAATGCACCCCTATAAAACTGGTAAGTGGATTTTCAAATCAACGACAGCACGTATTGCTTATCCTTTCACACTGTTCAGCCTCTCCCGCTGTTCTCTCAGAATATTCATTCTCTCTTCCTTCAACACTTGTGGCACGGTGTATGAGGGCATATCCTGGCAATGCACGTTTAGTCCTTACCCATTTCACTTTCAGGAGTCAAGCCTCAGATCAGCAGTCAGGTGACGGGGTGGTTGGTTTTGGAAGAGATTGTTTAAACAAGCTGTGCATTTGTGCCCTGGAGTCATAAATGGGCTAGAAATGAAAAGTGCTTTCCCAGTGCTTAAATTAATTCAGTGTTGTTGTTTTTGTACTTTACAAGAGATCACAATGCATGGGGCGACTGCTGAAGGGTAAGGGAGTAATTTGGTCCTTTATTACAAAAGATCATGAACTTATTTTAGATACCTTTATTTTAACGTGGTCTGACTCCATAATAATTGACAAAGCATGAGTTGAAAACTGATCCACTACTTTTCATGTTTTCTGACCATTTATATATATATGTACTTTACAAAACTATATGTAAACATGGTATCTATGCTGCAGTACATAAAACATCTGCAAGTACAGGAAAAGAAGGCACATCCATATTTTAATTATACGAATAAAAAGACACCACAGTCGATAAGGACGTTGTGTGTTACGTTAAATGCTTTCTTTCAAAGCTGAATTTTTTTCTCTTCGCAGACAGAGACCATCTACCCCAATGCTGTTCCTCTATTAGACTGTATACCTAAATCTTTGTTATCTTTAGCAAAGTTGATGGTTTTACTTCCTTTCTGAAAGTTAAATATATGTATTTGCATACATATTTACATAAAATATTTTTGTTTGAACTGCTCAAGTTGCCAGCTTACACCCAGTATGTGCTGAGACTAAATACTGAGATCCTGCAGCTTTCCTTAGCCACTCACAGTAAAGCTAAACTGCAGTTGAGATGTGAAAAATAAAATCCAAAAGATGGAATGTAAAACAGGACCTCCATGCAGTTCTTATTCCTTCTTAAGGGAAAGGAACTGCATACATTCAGACATGCTTGTTTACCCAGTGCTGTGTGTTTGTTTGGGGGCTGCGTTGTGCACAGCTGCTTAGCTGGTTAAAACTTCATTAAATTGTACTGACTACATAGAGATACCCTGATGCATTTGACATATTTTCTTTCTCTCAGTGTTCCACAGGCAGGCAGGTGGAGCTCACTTTGGAAAGCAGGGAAGAAGTTGCACCTTCAACAAACACAACTCCTTGCCACATCTAAACTCTTAGCTCCAGAATCTGCTGAGTAAGTTAGAGAAGTTATTGGCAAGAGCTGAGTTCACTCTTACGAGTCTAAACAGAACATGAAGTAACGTGATGGCTTTATGAAGCAAACAGTGTCAATTCACATGTTTATACAGATTTATACTACACATTTAATCAAAAATATACTGTGTAATATTCAACGAAAATAAATACACAGAGGAAAACACTATACAAATTCTCTATAAAAGCTTTTTTTTTTCCCTCTTTATAAGGCAGTTAGCAGTTGACTTTATATCCATGGGAGATGAATAATATACCTTTGGTTTTTGACCATTCCACTATTAACTCCACAGTACAACTAAAACATACTTCTGGATGAGATGTTTCACACTGCATTTTGTACACCAAAATGTATTATATGGCTTTTAACGTTACTCATCACTTTCATACTCTTCTTCATCACCTATGGGATAGGACTGGATGTTGTTCTGAGTATACATTTTTGTTTTAACAGGGCAGTTGTGATCCATGAGTATAGCCTGAAAGAAAAGAGGTGAATGTTAGTGTTCCTGCGTAGTGCTCAGTCGTGGCTGTGATTCACTCTCTTCCACAACAGCAGAAACTAAATTGATCTTTATTACAGTAATTCAGTTTATGTGTCCTTAGATGTATGAGGAGGGATCTTGACAGCACCAGCACAGTTCTTAGTGGAGCCAGTATTTCAGCTCCTGTGTTAAATACATCTAGCTGCTTTCCCATTGCAGTAACTTAGCACTCATATTGGATCACCACAAGCTGGGTGAATGAGCCCACCTGTCTCCCTTGAGCCTCCTGCTCATGTGCTTGCTTTTCATCCAGAAGCAGCTGCAGTTGGTGAGAACAAAAGGACAAGGAGTATGGAGCTCAAGAAGAGACGTGAAGCATGAATGCTTTAGAACAGATTTCAGCCTTGGAGGGGGCTGTAGGTACAAACCAACTGCAAAGTGAACTTTCTATCTCAATTTTTACAAATAATGCTGTTTTATCAGGTAGAAATAACAAGTAATAAATGCATTATTAGCTGGAATCTCTGGGATTCTGCAGTGCAAATATGTGCATCCTAATGTAATAGGAACAACAAATCTACTGCAGGAAGCACGTAACTAAGCTTTTCTTTGTGCATCTTATAGCTATAACGTGGCAGGGTTGTTTCAGAAATGATGCATGAGGATGAGATAGACTGTGCTGGTCCTGTTTTGTGGAGTTACAGGCAAAGATACAGAAATAAGTTTTAATTCATTTCACTGGAAAAAAAAACCATTAAAAAAAGGTGTTATGCTTACCATTTTCTCTTCTTTGGCAGGTGGACTTCGAAGGAAAAAGCACAGAGGAGCAAAGAGAATATCCACAATCCCTATAATTGTCATGAGCCATGGAAATCCAATTGCCTTTGCGATGGCACCGCCAGCAGAGGGACCTTTTAAAATTAAACCCTTTTTCTGAATATCATAAAACTTGCAGCATTCACTTCAAATAGTAATTTTACATGCAAAAATCCTCTACTTTTCAAAGTGATTGAAAAAAAAAAAGTACAGTTGCATTCCCCACTTGAACCAATGAAATGAAAGGTGCTCCAAGGAGCCTTCACATCCAACATCTCAGCATGTTTCTCTTTGTGGTGAAGAACGTTATAAGCAGGAAAATGCAAGACTTACCTATTGCAAAGCCCATGCAAAAGGCAACATCAGCTATGGCATAGACACTGCCATAGACCGACACATGGCGCAGATCCACGAGGTAACCCATGATGGGCATCATGGAGGAGTCCACCATTCCTGGTTGCGAGGGAGAGGAACAGAGATCAGGAAAACTATCCTGATTTTTACATAAACCACAGACTGAACAAGGTAGTGTAATTTTTTCTCACCAATGGCAAATCCAACTCCGAAATTGGGTGCTATGAGCCCATAGATGTTCTTAGCAAATGGTACCTGTAAATGATGTTTCAGACAGCTGATCAGGTCATGCTGCATGTGCTAATGAAATTTGTTTTGTTTTTCTAAGAGAAATTCTCAGAGCAGTTTGCACATACTTTGCACAGATGTGCAAGCTAGAATTTGGGGCTTGTGTGGGACTTCAGATAAGAGCCATTACACCACTGACACTCGCCATTGCAAACAGGAGTAAAATGTTGAGTGGCATTCAAAAAAAAAAAAATCTTTACTCCTTTAAAAGTCATCCTTCAATGAAAATGAAACAGTAAGATTTGAAAGCACTCAGATCTGCAACCTGTTAGCTGCACGTTATTCAGTGAAGTATCTGGAAGGCAGAAACTTCAGTGAAATGTCACAGCAAAGCACAATTTCAAAGATGAACACAGAGAGATTTGGATTGTTCAAATGGTCTACTTACACACAAGATGCTTATTCCCACAATGAGCATTCCTAGTAAAGCACAGAGCCACCTGAAAAGGAAGAAACATCGCTCAGAGATCGGTGGTTATAAGGCACTCGAGATCATTTGGGCTGGTTGAGAGCCACATCTGATGTGCAAACCTACACAACTGAAGGTGGAGTGTGTTCCAAAAATGGTTTTGCTACTGTAGTACAACTTCTAATAACTTCCAACATCAACAAACTGCCCTGCAAACACTGGAAACGGAGCACGAACACACTGGAAGATTATTAATATTTTTTAAGGTAAGCATACCTTCCCATTTTGTGCGCAAGTATCCCAAAAAGATTAGTCCCGATAAGATAAGAGATACTGGCTGGAAGAAACGCAACGCCTGAAAAATATGAATGAGATGTTTTATCGGCAGTGATTCCAGCGGGGTGTTAGGAGAAATTAATAAATGCCAGACAGCGCAGTTCCGAAGCAAACACATCTGACAGAGTCGTTGTGTGCAGCCCAGAGAATCAAATATCCGGTTTGCTGCAGCAATCTCAGGACATCATCTATGAAATGCAGGAGCAGCGTGACACCTGCAAAAAAAGTGTTTGTAACTGCAGATAGTTCAAGGAAGCTCATTTTCCCCGATGGATATTTCTGGGTTTACGGCCGGGTGTAAGGATGGAGGTCAGGCCTCGCTCCCTGCAAGCACCTCAGTGCCCTGAAGTACAGGCTGCCATTGGGCCCCCGGTCAGGCATCAGCTCAAACTGAGCACCTAAAGATAAAGAAGCATTAAAAACAAGATTTTTTTATTTTTTTTTTTAAGATTTAGTAGGTTTTTAATACAAATAACTAACAGCCCTAGGGAAACACCACTGGTTTAAAGGCTAGTTCCAGTGCTTGAGGCTTCCTCCTCTTCCTCACTCTCTATGAGGCTGTGGGCAGAGCCCAGACACGGGGCAATGGGGAGGAAGCCTTGGAAGGTAGTTCTGATTTACAAAGCCATGACATTATGGTACGCAGTCAAACAATTTCTTCTGAGTGCGTGTACTCCTTGTCCCTCACCAAGGCAACACAGGCTTTCTCATTTCCTGCCTATCCATCTTCCTTCCTATCTCTCTGATATTCATAAGAGAAATCAGGAGGTAATTTTTAGCACAGCAATATTCTGCAATTGAAATCCTTATGGGTTAACAATGGTGATGCTGAGGAAACCTTTTCACCTGTGCAACTGCATCTGCTTCGCTGCAGCCTGGTGCAGCCTTTTGTACAGGTGCAGCCTGGTCATATAAGAGCAGAACTTGAAAACTGGGGAAAAATGCTGCAGGTTGGGATGTACACATGCAGTGGTAAGCTGTGGTACACTGAAGCATAGCTGCGATTTTCTGAGTTAGATTTATGCACAGTAACATTAATTGACTGAAATCAGGACCTTTGCACCTTCTTGAAATCATGCTTCAAACCACTGGATCTCAAAACTGCCTAAGATCATCATTTGCTTAAACCCTTGCAGTTTGAGATATAGTTTAAGAGGCTTAAAAACTTCAATTAATGCTGACAAATCAGACAAAGCATAAGGGACTCAATTACTTATCTCACTAAGGGGTGAAAATTATTCTTAAATTGGATATTTTTCCTCTAGGAATCTCAGTTCAAATAAGAGATTTGTGAGTCTCACTTCTGTTGCATCAGTAGCACCGTACTCTAGTAATAAATCTCCAGCATGGCCCGGTGGGGCTGCTCTGCTGCTCACGGTAGCAGCAGCACCACTGCATATAAGAGCAGCAGCATGACTGAATCAGCATGGAGACTTCCATCAGATAAATAACTGCACAAAAATGACATGGTGTACTTTACCGAGTTGCCATTTTTTGGAACACATGGTCTCCATCATCCAGATGGGTAGTGCTGGTTCAAGCATTGCAATAGCCATGTTTGCAAAGCAGATCGATCCTGTAGGAAAAGGAGAGGAGAAAAAACAAAGGTGAAAAATTAGTTATTTTGATTCTGAATAAAAAGCTGTGCAGAGAACAAGAGCTCTTAAAAAAAAACCAAAACACTGTGCTTCTTGCAGTCCTGTTTGTCATGCACCAAATGTTGATTAATGTTAAAAAGAACAGAACGTAAAATCACTGCACACTAACTTGTTATATATTTCAGTTCTCCCAGAAATTCTACAATAAAGGTTAAGCTATATTCATACTGTGAAGGGAGAGCAGCAAAGTCTGCAGCGAGCCTGGTGACATTTAGAAAGTTCATGAGGTCTGAATGTTCTGCAAATGATGAACTAAAATTCCCATCTTCTGGTCTTCATCTCCAGTCTCCTGAGGCGGAATTGGAGCGCTGTTGTGTAAGAGATACGGTCCATGACCTGTACCTCCATCACAGGATGAGGAAGAGGAGATATGGAGGTCTTGGTCCTAAAAATACCATCGAGCAGCCAGAGAAATACCTGTCCCCTACAAAGGGGTGTTTTGTGTACAGACCCCACTGCCAGCAGCCACAACGCCTGGGCACGGCTAGGCTCAGCTTGCCTAGCCATGTGAATTTCAAGTGCTTTCAGATCTTTTTGAATCTCAGGACATTTGGTCACTCAGGTGCAAAGGACAGAAGTGCTGACTGAATCCAGCCTGCGGCTCCTCTGCCCAAGTAACATTTTCTTTCAGCTCTGTAGCTGTAGTGCTTTGGATTTCTTTTCATTCTTCCTCAGAAGAACCTAACTCATGTACATGGGACATGTCCCCACTGCTCATCCTTCACGAAATGACTTTCAGAGGAGTTTAAAAGTCACTGCTAGAACTGACAGCCTCAGATGCGTGTTCCCATTTTTCTTTCTAACATTTATAATCCCAAAGACTCCTACAAATGTCGCTTTTTGAAGCAAAAAAAAAAAAGAAGTTTAAGTTGTCTTGAGGTCAGAGAAGTACTATTCTTCTCGGAACAGGCTCCTCATTGCGCAGTTCAAAACGAAATGAGCACGGATGTCATTCTTTGCTCGAACCTGTCAGACCACATTAGGCTGTGTATCTGTGATTGCTGCAATGAACATGCAGGCCTGTCGCTCACTCCCTTCCTGGGGCAGGCAGTAGCTGCTTGGCTCACCTTTACCCTGCAGACAAAGGGTTGCATACAATGGGAACCTTTCCACTCTGTTGCAAGGCTCCATGTCTGCAAGGAACCCCAGCCAAGCACCCAGGGGCTGCCCTGACTCGGCCAAACCCAGCCAAGCTCAAGCTCAATGCTGGAAAAACATTTCAAGCCAAACAAATTGCATCCAGAGGAGCCTACGCCATTCCGACAGAGGCAGATAAGTACGAAAGGTCCTATCCCACTCTCAGCAAACTTCACAAAGTAATTAGAAGTACACATGCACGTAATACAGCTATTTCTCATTAGGACAGGAAACATCACCAGAGCTTGTCAAGGTAGTTATGTGCGTGGTGACAAAGGTACTTTGCTCTTTAGGACACGCTTCAAGAGAAAGGTGGGAGCCCGAGCTGGCAGTCTGCAAACTGAGGGTAAATCCAATAGAGACCATGCACCCTGACTGAAGTTTCCCCAGACAGGCTTGCTTGGGCTCAACATGGCTCAGCTAAAGTGAATGGAGTGCTTCAGATACATGAATCAGTCAGGAAGCACTTGTGCTTCGGCAATGCAAACCATTATGGATCAAGTGTGTGACACACACCCAGGAGATTAGATCTGAATTTATACCACAAACTTAGTGTACCTGAATCGAGAGCATGAAAAACACTTTAACTGTTGGCCCTTTTGCAGCAGCCCTAAGATAAAGCCATCTTTCACTTGTGGTTGACAAACAGTCCATTAGAGATGCAGTAAATTGTGTCATTTCTCAATGTAATATTCTTTTTAAAAAATAATAGTTTAAAAACAAAAAATTTTGTTCTTTGAGCTTCTCATAAAAAGAAACAGGAAATGACATTGCTGCTAAACCAAGCTAGCTTGAGGCTTTCCAGCATTCCGGGAATAATGCCTGCAGTTGGTTTAAATACATGTATGTATAAATAAAGAGACCTGGTACCTGCTGCAATGATGATATACGGGTCCTTCACAAGTGTCAGTAATGGTGTCCCCTTCTGACTCTGTGAAACAAATGAAAACCTGGCATTAGGAAAGACAAAATGTCAGCTGTGGCTAACAGCATTTTACTACAATACTTACTTCTGCCTGTGCTCTGGACGGCTGCAGAACAAATAATTGAACAGCTGTGGAAAGAAACCAATACTGTAACACTGCTCAAAGAGGAGGGTTAGCAGCTAATGCAGTGTGCTACAGACGTACGGGGTCGTATGGACTCTGTGGGTACTGACCTCCATCAAACAGAGCCAGAGCTGCCAGCACGAGGAACGGAGAGCTCTTCCCCACAAACTCATACATGATGCTCCCAAAGGGTGGGCCCACTGCAGGGGGAAGGAAGGAGTCTGGGGTGAGGCCACGTTTCTGATCGTGAACAAGTGTCATCTGCAAGCATTTGGGCTGCTGGCACGCTGGGGCCAAAAGGCTCCATTTGAAAAACCCACAGATCTCACTGATTATGTGATTATGGAAACCTTATTCTTCACACCCCAAAATATTCTTCCATTTAAACAAAACTTCAGCATCACGGAAATTACTGTCTGACTTTTATCTGCCTAAGATACGCTTCTGTGTAAGAAACAATTCTGGCCATGAATAGTGAATCTAATCTGGAGATGGCATGATAACATGGCACTTGATGAGACCTTCCCATGTTTCAGTAGATCACAGGTGGGAACTTTATGGCTTCCCTTGGTGGCAGAGCCTGACACTGACCTAATACTCCCATAGCAAGGCCTCCCAGTGCAATTCCCATCGCGTTGCCTCTCTCTTCATCGTCTGTGTATACACTGGCAAGCATACCCATCCCTAAATCAGAAACAAAACAAAGTGTAGATTAGGCGGCTGTGTCTTACAATTTATTGTCATCATTTTCCAGCCCTACTGAACATTAGTCAAAGGTAACATTAGGTAACTCTATACACAAATATACATGCATATATATATCCATGTACACACATACTTGTGTGCCTATGTCCCCTCCTCATGGAGTTTGCCTTGAAGCAGAAGAGAGTTTGGCATACGTAGATGCTCCCCACATCATGTTCTATCACACCATATCAATCAAATAAATTAATGATGCCCTGATTTGCTGGATTCTTCATCCTTCCCTTTGCTCCAGAGCATTTAGATGATGCTTTTCAACCAGACACAACCAAGCTGTTACAAGTGTTCAGTTTTTTATCAGCACACAAATCTGGTACCTGGCATGAGGTCTGGTGCCCACTGACAGCTGTACCCAGGTCATTGCAAGCTGTGCTCTCAGCATAAAGGATCATGAGTATTTCAAGAGCATCCAAAATTAAAGGGTGCTTTTGACCTTTATCTTCACTGTCCTCTCTTCTGCTCATCTAATGATGAGCCTTCATTTCACAGAAGGAAACGTGAAGCCTAATTCATTTGTTTTTGTGAAGCTCAGAGTGTGAATGTCACTCAGAGGTGAATGCTAAAGGAGGGTTCTTATAGAAATTGTTACTTTTTTTTAATTACTTATTTTATTACTTTTCAAATCAAGGCTCTAATAGGACTAAGCAAATAAGGTCCACAGCTACGCAGTGAGCCAGAAAGAGGAAACAGAGCATTGCATGAGTGATCACTGAGTAAATACCAGCCATCGTGTGCACCATGAGCAGAGGTCCTGAATGAATGTGCTTACTGGAACCTGTGGCTGACTTCAAATTGCTCACATGAGATGCTGGGAAGCAAGTTAGAGAGTGCTATCAGAATTGACAACAAATTTGTGCAGATTCAGAGAACTATTCTGGAAAAGAGTAGGATGCAATACAAAGCTGATGAAGGTTTATGCTTCGATAGGAATAAATCTGCAGAGATACAGGGTGGATGCTGCACCCAGTGCTGCAGCCCAGAGAATAGCACAGGGGATGAACAAAGGATTAGAAAAACCATCAGTGCGTCCCTTTGGATTTAAAACCAGAGAGGAGAAACCAACTCACAATGTGGTGTGGCCTTGAAAGTTAAACAAGCTTTCAAGAGGAGTTTTCAGGGGAATTCTTCCTGAGGAAGCTCTATTCACCTCCCTTCTCAAGCTAAATTTGTATTCATGAACAAAACAAGAAAGTTTTCCTCTAGATTTCATTCCAGAAATGATTGAATAGTTTGGAATGAAAACCCATCCTCCATTTCACCTCTTCATTTTAAAAAAGTAAATAGATCTGACATTGGGCATCTAGCACAGGCGACCTGTAGGCTGAATTAGAAGACACTGGGAACAACGCTTTGTAACAGGAATTTCAGATGCAGGCAGAGGTACAATCCCCACGGTGATCCGTAGCAACATAAGTTCCTGGTGACCTTTGAAAGGGCTGAAAATGAATTTAAAATATTGAAGGCACACATGCAGAAACCCGAGAGAGCATACCTCACCTAGCACTCTGCCTTACTGCAGCCCGAACACCAACGAGTCTGAGAAGACATTGGGTTTTGAGCTACTGCGTAGGAAAGGGGCAGAATGTCTTTTTAAGTGAAATAGATATAATTTGAGTAAGTTTGTATGATTATTGAAACCACAGAAAAAAAATAAAACACACCACAATTAAGAAATGACTTTTACTGAAACCTCTGGGATCTGTGAGCTCCATTTTATTCTCCTGTACGCTCTCTTACCTGCCACTGAAGAACAAGAGGAACCCACCCCTTGAAGGGACCTTGCAATGAACAGCAATGTGTAGCTTCCTGAGAAGGCAAACACTACAGAAAAGACAGAGGCAAATTTTGAAAATTAGGTTAACTCTAACTAGGTTTAAAAGTTAGATTTCTTTAAACCGTAATAGAAAACTTTGTGCCATTTAATCAGGCGTTTACTGTGCCTTGTGTCACTTTCAATGCTAATTACATTATTATCTCTTATTGCATTTAGAGGTGTCAGTGTTGAATTGTTCTCAGGTGTCTGAGCCTTCTGGTAACACAGAATACGAGCACCCAAGTCGTTTTAACTAATTACTCAGGATCTGATTGCACCCTGCTCTGATTCAGCTGCACACAGAGGTATTAAGACCTTTCTTTCCAGCCTTTATTTAAGCCTGCCCAACCTCTGCCAAACCTCTGTGCATTCAGGGAAAGCAAGAACTAAGAGAAGCCCCCCAGGCTTAAAGCAGTGTTTCTTCCAATAAGCAGGCAAGTTGTGAGATTTTTGCAGTGGTGTTCCACACTTGGTGCTGTGCAATGCATCTGGCCAGAAATTGGAATTACTACTCTTATCCCCAACCAGAATCTGCCTGATGATCCAAAAATCCAGAGCTGTCAGAATCTACCATCAGGTAATCTTTTTTCCATCACTTTGCTCTCCTTGCTGTCAGAAATACTGTCCTAATATTTAATGAATTTTTTCCTTGATATTGGTGGGGTTTTTTTGTTGTTTTTGTTTTTTTTACATGTTGTGGATATGGGAAACTTAATTCCCATCCCTTTCTTTGCAATGCACTCTGATACATCTTTAATCTGTCTTCTGAAACAAGCTCAGTTTTTAGTAATTCTTTACAGGCTTCCAATGATCCTTTGTACTCTTTTCCTCTGGATCACATCTTGAAATACCACACCAAAAGTGAACGTAAACCAGCAGCTGAGGCCTTATCAGTGCCATTTGGAGTGGACACGTTATCTCAGCTGACTTGTAAGCTATGTTCCTGTTTGCACATCCTATGGTGATGTCAAGCAATGCTATGATACTGTTGACTTTCATATTCTATTCTTGGGCCTCACATTCTCTTTCTGATAAGGCCCCGTGATTCGTAGTTGTCAGGGATCCTGAAAAATAGCCCTCGTGACTGAAAACTCTATCAGTTTAAGAGTGTGTGAGCACTGCTCAGACCATGGGAAGCTGAGAGGAAGGTTGAGACAAGAAAAGGACCAGCTGAAGGGGGATGGAAGGCAGTGAAATCCTTTGAGAGGTCCATAGAAGTATGCTTGTTAAATCTCTATAGCAGCCACTCTTACACTTTTTCTTACACTCAGTTCCTCTACATCAACAACAAGAATTCCTAGGGATAGCTATTGTAGATCACTTGTTTAAAAGTTACACCTGAACTACACCAAATAGGAAGTGGATACTTACTGATTGTTGACACAAACATGATGCAGAAGCCAGCAAACAAGGGAATCTGGTAGCCTATTCTAGAGGAAAAAAAAAGAAGTTCACATCTTTGGAATTGTCTCACTAATAGTTGCAGTTAGATTTTCCCAGATGAGGATGTTGGCAATTTAGGCAATCATACACATGTGAAGGATGCAAAAACCTGACTTGTGGTTTCTTTTCAGCTTTTGAACTATTTATGGTGGACCATATGATCAAATTGCTCCATGTTACAAATGCTTTCTCATTTGCTAAAGCAGAATTTTTATCTGAAATCCCTGAAAGAAGTCCTTCTCTCATTGGAATGTAGCTTTCCAGTAATGTGATGATACTGGACTTTACATGGGCAGTACTGGCTATGTTATGGAAATTATGGAAAAGCCTACAGCAGCTCTCTTCATTTCTAGTGATAATAATAGCTCTGCAATAGGAGCATAATCATTCTGATCTTCTGTTAGTTTGTTGATATAACTGTTATACAAGTAAGGGCTGTATGGGCTGACACAGAACAGGACAAAGGGAGTTTCCCCATAATTGCTTTGATTTTTGAATCTTTAACTTAAAGCACTGATATAAATATAGAATAAAAAATCCTTCAGGTACAGTTACTGCTGTTGGTGAATGATAGCATCTTTCTCCGGGTATGATGAATGCAAAAATTGAATGTCCCTATTCCTTCTTCCATCACAAAGGGGTGTTTTGTGTATCAAAGCCAACCCAGAGGTATGTAGGTTGGACACTGGACAAGAAGTCTGAGTACTGTAAAGAAATCAAAAAATTTGACTTGCCACAAGGAGTGTGAGACTGCAATTCAGAACTCCTACAATTACATGAAATTGAAATCAGTTATTTGCTTGAAGACAAATGCCATCTGAAGTGATTGCCATATCCATTTTCTATCAGCAGATTAAGAGACATAAGCTATGAGATCTTCCATAAGCATTAATGAGCTAAATAAATGGAAGGGCTATCATAGTCTTGTAACCTTAACTGATGGACCAGTCTCCATCCAGTTGAAACAAATTCCACCTCTTTCAATTGGCTTCCTACATTTGGAAAGAGTCTTAGCTATTGATAGTTGTAAGAAAACAAGCATTTTGGATGTCACTTTGAATGCTTAGTAAAAGCCTGTTGGAACTTTGATCTTAGTTTTTGCAGCTGTGGATTTTATTCCTCCTTTATCTTGGATGTAGTCACTAGGTGTGAAGCAATGCACAGCAGAGGATCATGGAGACAGAGCTAGAGCAGAACTTGCTCTTGCAACCCAGCAGACCGTGATGCTTTATTGCACGTGTTTAGGTCTAACACATAACTTTCCTTTCAGGCAGAGAATCATCTCAGAACCAGACTGTGTGGGCATAGCTAGTTCTTTTAGCCAAAATCTGTATTACCGTGGCCCACCATACAAGATGTGAAGGTATAAATGTGAGCAGAATGTGCTGAATCAAGCAAAAAATCATAATCCTCTGAAAAGGTCAAAACTGTCTAGAACTCCCTCTCTCTCCCCCAATCTGGAGGTGATGTGCTGCGCTGCTCAAGGTTGCTGAGCCTCCAGAAGTCATTCTTATTCTTGCTCAGGTTCTTACCCACTTGCAGCTGACAGAGAGATGTGCAGATTGCCTTTCCTGCATAATCTTAGCAAGTCCTGCCTCCTCCTTACATAGCATAGTGTTAATTAGTGTGTGACCACAAATCTCAGCTGCAGTCCCTGGTCTGTCCAACAGAGAGAACAGAGTGGCATTACCCCATCAGCCAGGTGTTTTAAGGATTGTGTCCCCTGGCCCATTCTGCTTTTGCCATGGCACGGCTCCACTCCGACAAGATTTGCCTTGTCTCCTTTTTCCTTGCTGTCATGCCTTAATAAGTCATTTTCACAGGTGCTCCTAACAAAACACTGCATGAGAATCTGCATTAGCCCCAGGTTGAGCACATTTCAGGGAGGCCACCTGCAGCTGCTCTCCCCATAGGCGTCTCTGACTCCTGAAAAAACAGAGCCACCAGTTACAGCAGGGAGAGGGAGGGCTGCTGGTGACAAAGAGTACCTAAACTACTCGCCTTGGTGCCACCTTGGCCCCAGACAGCAGAATTGTTTGGAAGTGGATTATGTTCATTAACAAGGTTACACCACAATGAGAAAACCACTTGACAGTTTTTCTACTGCAGGCAAATAAAGGTTACACTGACCAGGTTAGCAGCTGTGGAACATTAGAGCCTAATTGCCTATCCATTAAGGACTGCAAGTCTACTGACTTTAATATTGTGACTGCTTAGTGATATGGGTACCAAGGGCCAGCATTCTGGCCATTGACTTCACCCCTGGGCAGACTGGGGAGGATCTGTAGTAGGAACAGTATTTTCCTCAAGATCTCCATCCCAGTGCTCTAAGTTGGGCAGGCAGCGGGGCTCTGGCCGGCTGGGATGGGTGCTCAGGCATTTCAGTCACCTACTGAAAACCCAAAGGAAAGCTTACATAGGAACTGAGCTGTAAGTAAGGAGTTGTAAATGTTTTTTGTTTCCCTGCCTCACTCTTTCTATGCATCATAAATATCTTGTGGTTCAAGCCATGCTCTCTCTCATACATGCAAAGCTCACATCTATAGTCAGGCTGGCTGTAAAAACTATCATGCAAACACCTGTTCATTTGTTGATGAAATTTGAAGCCATGTATGGATAGGCATAAAGTTCAAACTATGTATTTTTTCAGGCTGGAAGATGAGGGGAGAGAGCTGCATGGCAGCCGATGCTCTCATTGACACTAGTGAGTGGTGGTGCCAGCACAACTGGGCTCTCAGACTAATTCACAGCGAGGGGCAATGCTTTGGAAAAAATAATGGAATGAATCAGACATAGGAAGCTGGTGCCCAATTTCTTCTTTGGAAGGATTAGGAAAAGCCTTCAAACTCCCCTTAACTGCATGTCCTGTGCACAGAGTGCTCTGTAGCAAGTGCTGTGCTGTTTGTATGGTTTCTTATCTGTTACACTACAAGCAAAAGCCAAATGTGCACCTGAGCAAGAAAAGATCTCAGTGCTGCTATGGGAGGTGTGTCATTCACATGCTGTGGCAAAGCCATTGCTCTGGTGTTCTGTTTGCTAGGACTTCCACCAGGGCTGTGAGTGAAGGGAAGCCGGTGGTGCATCTTAAGTTGCAAACCAGTTCATGAAGACAGGTGTGTGATTTGTCTCGTGTTCCTTCAAAAGAGATCAGCTTTAAATAAGAAACATTTTTAGCTTGCTTCTAGACTTAAATTAATTTCCAAAGTTACAACTAGAACTCAAAATTTTAAACAGTTTCACAAAACGATGGAACACCCTGTTGTATCCTTATACAAACTCAAGCACTCAAAGCCAGTACATATTTAAAGCCAATAACTATGCTTGTTTAAAACTCTCAACCATTCCTAAAGAATTATATTTAAATGAAAAATAAAAGCTATGAATATGGTTTAGTTCTTAATTGAAACTTACACCTCAACAGGGTGTGCACACTAGTTTTTAAACAAAGAAACCCATCCTCCTTAAGCTGTTCTAGTTTGCTTAAATTTTGCCATAACAGTGATCATTTAACAGCTTATCAGTGGTAGAGTCTTTATACTGATAACTCATATCTTCTGTTTCATTGATAGTAGTTTTCAGACTTCCTTTCAAACGAACACAAACACTGTTCTTAGGAAATGGTGTTTTTTTTTTTTTTTTTTTTTTTTTTTTTTTTTTTTTTGCCAATGGCTCCAACACTTCATTGAGAAATACATAAACTGATATTTTTCACTAAACGTTTCTCAGAATAAAGGCAGACGCTGCTACCAAGACCCGAACTACACACGAAAGAAAACCAATAATCCTTAAATCTAATTTAGGGGCAGTTTGCCATGAGGACACTGCCACGTGTGGCTGAGTGCTATCCTTACTTCTCCTTTTCCCATTTTCTGGGCACTGAGCCTGCAGATCCTGCCACTGGGAGGGAATTTTCATCCCCATGCACAAACCTATGGGATGGTTACAGCCTGGCTGTAGGGCTGCCAGCATCAGTGCTCCCACCAGGGCAGCACTGACACTGGTGCCACCAGTGTCAACATGTGAACATGTTGGAAGAAGGAGGAGACCCAAGAACATCTACCTCACTGCCAGCTCTAAGATCTGTGGGAGATTCCAGCCTCTGGCCCCAGCACAGATAGGCATCGGGGTGGTTGTTCCCTTTTGCTGATGCAGAGATCCTATCTACAGCATGATGTAACTGCACTAATGAAAGAGCCACCAGCCATGTGGGGTGTGTTCTTTCTTTTTCCCAAGTTTGGCAGTTTGTAGACAATATGATACAAACAGCAAAATCCAGAGAAAATAAATATAAATAGGGCCATAACGCAGGCACCTGGTAAAACCCAGATACCTAAAGAATTGTTATGAAAATCTGATTTGATTTCATACTGCTTTGATTGTGGAAGAGCTGTCATGTCCTCACAAAGCAATATAGGAAATCTAGATCTGCTCCTTGCATTGCAGCTGTGTTTGCATAAAAGTTATATTGTAATGGAAAATTGTTTTGGAGAGAATATAGAAGGAGGTTTGGAGAAAACAAATAGAAATGAAGGTATCTATCTAATATAAAGCTTTTGTGTTTATATCTGTCCCACAGATTTAATACAGCTGTGGAATTCCGAACATTCTGAGTCAAACCTCTGCTCATCACTCAGTTGGATGTTTCTCTCAAGATGGCATTAAATACTCAGTTCAGCCATCACACAATATATGTAACATGCCAAATCCAAAAAAGGTAGTTTGATTTCAAAACCTGAAATATTTCACCTTAAAGAATGTTGGTTAGGTTATAGTCACCAGTGATAAGTGTAAACCTACAACAACTTAAAAGTGTTTTCAATTGAGGAAGTGGACAAATTTCTCCTGCGTATTTAAAGAGAAATGGGAAAATTAGTGACCTAACTAAATACAATTTGGAGCTTATTCCCTACAGAGATTAACATCTCTGTCTAGAAGAACTGCAGCTTCTTCACGGAAATCAATCATACAGAATGCTAACAATAAAACAAAATTAATTATTAACATAAGACATTTAAATGATATTACAAATACTTTTTAATCTCCATGTAGATGTATTCAATGCTTGGAGTATTTTCTGTTGTTGTGGGTTATTTTAAAGCCACTGATATTGGTGCTTACAATATTGATCCTGCTCAGATAGATATTCTGTAACTTACTGTATAATTATTGTTTTAGATTTAAAAAATAATATTTTTTTTTAAATTTCATTTCACAGAATCACAGAACGGCCCACGTTGGAAGGGACCTCAAGGATCATGAATCTCCAACCCCCCTGCCACATGCAGGGCCACCAACCTCCACATTTAATGCTAGACCAGGCTGCCCAGGGCCCCATCCAACCTGGCATTGAACACCTCCAAGGACGGGGCACCCACAGCCTCTCTGGGCAGCTGTTCCAGCACCTCACCACTCTCTCTGTAAAGAATTTCCTCCTGACATCCAACCTAAATCTTCCGTCCCTCAACTTAAAACCATTTCCCCTTGTCCTGCTGTTATCAACCCTCTCAAAGAGCTGATTCCCCTTGTCTTTGTAGGCTCCCTTTAGGTACTGAAATGCTGCAATGAGGTCACCCCGCAGCCACCTTTTCTCCAGGCTGAACAAGCTCAACATCTGTCTAAACACTATGGACAGTAACATACTGTCCAAACATTTTGTTCAAGCTACCATCTGTATGCAGGGATTCAGAGATGACGGTCTGAAGGTTGGACTGGATCCTGCACTGGTGTCATCCTGATCCACTGAGCTCAGAGAGGAGCATGGCCTTGGTGGGGTTTGGCAGACATGCAGGTCAATGAGAGCTTCATAGAATCATTAATGTTGGAAAAGACCACTAAGATCATTGAGTCCAACCACCCACCCATAACCTCTATGCTCACTAATATCCCTCAGAGCCACATTTGCCCTGTACTTGGAAACCTGCAGGGATGGTGGCTCCACTGCTTTGCACATGGCTTTTAGCTCAGGTGAATTGGAACCACAGCACCCACAGTGCACAGTGGGTCTGTGGGAGGCAGGGGTGGACCTGAACCCTGCCTGTGGTTCCAATATCCCAACTGCTATGTATAGGAGTAATAGAAGTGTCATCTGTACATAGGGCTGAATTCTTCCAACTAGGAGCTGTAGGATCTTGTGGCCCTGTGTAACTGCACTGAAGAAATTTCAACACCTCTTCTGCAAAAGTTTCTATAAAAACCTGAGGACTCAGCAGCTGGAGAAAAAGAAAAGTGCATAACACTGTCGAAGGGCCCATGTGCTTCCCGATTTATTTTTGAAATGATGCAGGCTGTTAGGAGATGCAATTATCGGATGCATTTCGCTAAAATATTCCTCTAGATAAGGTGAGAAGGGCAGTAAGTCAGGGCCACAACCGACTTAAAACTACTTTGAAACCCTCACCCAGACCTTAAACAGTGATGGATGAGCCCCAGCTGAATCACGTGAGCACTGTTTGCCTCACCTGTTCGTCAGCGGCCCTATGAAGGGGTTGGTGATCAGCTGCACTGTGGCTTTGGAAGCAAACAATAACCCGACTTGAACGTTCTCATTCAGCAGGTCCTTATCTTCCTTCGGGCAGTCCGGAGGCGCAGCGGTCGCATTTACCATCATCGGTGCTGTCTGAGTGTGCTGCAGCTCTCCGGGTGCTGCCTTATCAGACTCATTTCCAGTCAGCACCATCGAGTGGTCATAGTAGGAGAAGATGCTCTGAAAACTGTCCGCTGTCGTTGCAATGACGTTAGGCTTAGGAGTCTGGATTTCTGTTGCATTTTTCTCATGTTTGATGCTGTAAAGGTAACTGGGAATTATTGGCACTGGAAAAACAAATAGAATATATTGGCATCTTACTATCAGGTTATGCGTAAAATGGAATCACCAAATTTTCTTCTTGATTAGGAAACACAAAGCTTTCCCACAGGAAACAGCAGTAAGGATTTCAAAAGGGTGAAACTGAACTAAAACAGAGCATTGCTCATAGGAGAAATTACACTCCTAATTGCAATTTAAAGCATAAAGAGAAATTACCCTCCTAATTGCAATGTAAAGCATAAAGCTCTTTCACATTAGTGTTTAATTTTTGCCAGGTTTTGTAATTATTAAGTATTCTAGACAGACATCTTTCAGAAAGAAAAATATGAGGAGTACCAAAACCCGTCTCTGAACAGACTCCTTGTTGCATGAGTGTTTAAATCCCTTTATTGCTGTGAAAGCACAAAAGATGAGAAAAGCATTGCAACTATTGTTAAATCAAAATACTAAAAAATAATTAAATGCCTGAGTAAAATAAGCCTCAAAAATTGTAAGTAATGGTCACAAGAAGGGAAACCATCATCATAACACTTCTGTGTTAAGCAGTCAGTACCAAAGCATTGATGCTTACATGTTTCACCATTTCTCTAAACATAACATTGAAAAGATCACCCAGAAGGGACCTGCTTGATGTGCTTTAGGATCGTAGCTGTGTTCTAATTGCATTCACTGAAATAATTGTAGGAGCTTCTTGCACACATATATTAATGAATGCATAATGAAATGCCTAAAAACTTCATAACAAAGAATGTTCATGCAGAAAGAACATCCAGAACGGACTTGCTAAAAGCAGATGTGAAGTTTTGGTTAAAGTCTGCATGGTGGCATCAGCCTTACACCGAGGAGCAGGGTGCAGGAGTGGCACTGCAGCTGGGGGTGGGCTGGGCACTGTCTGCAGCCCGCTGTGCTGCAAGCCACAACCCAGGAGCTTCTCCCAACCCTTTTGAAAGTCTACATAAATACAGACCTGTGAATATGAGAGCTTATACAGCTACCAATGGAAAGTGTTCAAGCACTTTAACTGAGCAGGTTCCTGAATCTGGGCGCTGAGTTACTCGAAGCCAGTAACAGTTGCATCTTCAGCTTTCATCAGAACTCGGATTGTTTCGTTCAGACATCTCCTACAAGTGCTTTTCGTAAAACCCACTCCGATAGCTTTCGTGTTAACCTATCATTTCATGAGCAGTGCTGGGGAAAGGAGAGCTATCACAAGGAAGCAGGCAGCCCAGTGTTATCTCGCCTGTTGTTTCAGTTGCATGACCACAGGAGGAAAAAAAAGATGCTGAGTTAAAAATACGGCCATCAGTCTATGAAGTAGTAGTGGATTTTGTTAGGGAAAAAAAAAATATATATATATATTATATATAATATATATATAATAAATATATATAAAGATCTTTGTATGCAACTCCTTACCCTGCAACTAACAGAGAAATAAAGTGCACGGCAGTGTTTGCAGCACCTGGAACACCAGACGTGTATTTTAAAAAATCACTGTGTGGATCGAGAGCGTTAAATCATCACTCAGGGAGCACATCTGTCACCGGAGATTATTTCTGGCGCCAGAGAGAGGAGAAAAGAAAAAGAAAAAAAAAAGCAAACAAACAAACCCCACACCACCACCGTCCACCTACCGACCACGGTGAGCAGCATGTTGTCCAGCAGCAGGGCGATGAAGACGATGAGGAGGATGAGCTTTCTGGACTGCCGGCCCTCCCGCAGCCAGCGCAGGCTGAGCTCGCCCCACGCCATGCTGCGGGGCACGGCGGGTGCGGGGGGCTGCGGGCAGAGCCACTGCCCGCCCCGAGACGTCCCGAACGCTGCCGGGAGCGGAGAGCGGCAGGAGGAGGAGGAAGAGGAAGAGGAGGAGGAGGATGCTGTCGGGGCAGAGGAGGAGGAGGGGGAAGGAGAAGGAGAAGGAGGAGGACGAACTGCCGGCCCCTCCCCGGCCTCAGCGCAAGCTCTGAGTGCCCTGTAAGGTGAGCCCCAACAGGTACGTGGGGAGCAAAGGCAGCGTTCCAGGCTGAACCTAAAAGGGTGTCCTGGTCGGGATGGTGCTGCTGGCACCCACGTAGGGGATTTGAAGCTTTTGGTGTTTCAGTCATTCTCCCAGCTGGAGCACATGGGTGTCACGCCCAACCTGCGGTGCTATTTGTAGTTATTGCTCATTTCTTTATAATCTCTATTAGAAAACAAACTGGCTGTACAACAGATCAGCAATTGAGCTGATAAAGAAGCACCTCCCCTACGAGGACAGGCTGAGAGATATGGGGCTCTTCAGCCTGGAGAAGAGAAGGCTCTGGGGGGATTTTATAGTGTCCTTCCAGTACCTGAAGGGCAAGTAGCAACAGGATGAGGGAAAATGACTTTAAACTGGAAGAGGGTACATTTAGACTGGATATTAGGAAAAAGTTCTTTACTGTGAGTGTGGTGAGATGCTGGAACAGTTTGCCTAGAGAGGTTCCCCCTCGCTGGAAGCACTCAAGACCAGGCTGGATGGGGCTGTGAGCAGCCTGGTCTAGAGGAAGGTGTCCCTGCCGATAGCAGGGGGTTGGAACTAGATGATCTTAAAGGTCTCTTCCAACCCAAACCATTCCATGAAGAGACCTATTTGGACATAGAATCACGTCCTTATTTCAGGTTGTCATTCATGCCACAGTACGTTGTGTTCTTTTAACCAACCCACGCTTGTATGAGCTGCTCTTTGCCCTACCTTCCCCATGCTTCACTTTTGGTAAAACCACTGAAACTGAAAGAAGCTTCTTAATGCAGCCCCAGAGCCAACCATAGGCACTAAGCTGATAACAACAATGCTATGCAAACATTCAGTTTCATTATGTGGCCTGCATGTATTTCTATACATTCATATACAAGTCAAGAAGTTAAATGGTGTGCCTTTGAATTGTGTCAGGTCTTCATAAGCATCACAGATTTCCTGCGAAGTGATGCTCAGACATATGCTGCTGCTTCTATAGCAGTGCTCATTTCATACAGTAAACACACAGTTTTAGAATTAATTTATTAATTAACGACATACATTTATACTGAGCAGTGTTGCCTATATAACGGTAGTTCTCTCTTTCTGTCTCCATCATGCTGATATTCAGCTGGCAGCATCTGGCCACTCTGCTTTGCTCCACTTCAAACCTCTTCTCTCTCCTCTTATCATAGCTCCTCTTACCCTCAGCCAATTGATTTCTACGCAGCTAATTCCAAAACGTGTGTGCAAAAGCAAGCCTGCACTATTAGCGTGGAGAAGCAGAGAGCATATGAGTACATCTATTTGCATGTGAAGATGCCCATTGGTGCACAGACATTATTGCTTTATTAATCTAGCCAATTAAATCTTGATTACTTCTAGAAAATGAGCAGGTCAAGAAGACCCAAGGTTTGCTGCTGTGCAGATGTGAAGAATATTCTGTCAATAAACATTTCTTCACCATTATTAATTCAGCTTTAGCCAGGGATCTTTGCATCTACCAAAGAACGAGCAGGAAAGGAGCAGGAGCACAGCCAAATTGGCCATTACATTTGGGAACCTGTTTATGACTAGGTTTCCCTGTGGAACTTTTGTCTATCATATAATTGTTAAATGAGATTTGTCAAAAAGAGAGAAAGAAAACCACTTTTTTTTTTTTTTTTTTTTTTTTCCAGCTGTTAATTGAGGTTTCAACAGAACAGTTGAGCAAAATTTCATGCTTTGAAAAATAGGCATTCAACTCCTTTTTTTTATTCTTTTCTTGTAGAGTATCTGCCTTTTCTTTGCCTTGCCTATTCCTGGAAGTATACGTGTGCTTATTAAGCTCAGAAATAACTCCCAAAATCGTAGATAGATATTTAGGAATCCAAATTTTGAAAACTTAGCAGCCCAAATTTCATTTATGATCACGGGAATCGCAGATTTTAAAGGACGTGATTTTCACCACTGTTTGAAGGGATTTCAGTTCCAAAATGTCTCACATCTTTTTGCCGCTGCCTCCTTCATCCAGACAAAAATATTCACAGAAAGGAATGAGCATGCCAAGTTACTGCCTTGACACAAGGGTCCTACTTGCCTCAAGCATTGGTTCCAGCAGGCAGTTCCAAACCATGACCTCAAAATTACAGCCCCATGGGGGTTGTGCTCCTGCAATTCCTTGCAGCCATGAGTGGAAAGGCTCCTTCTGAGATCTTTCTAACAGGTCGGTGGCCAGCATGAGCTCATAGTTATGCTTCCCTCTGAGCGAGGCACCCCAAACTTGTTAGGGAATAGGCTAAAGGCACCAAGTAACACAGAGTTGGTGACCAAAAACAATACTTTATCGTGGTCCTGACAATTACACTTTGGCCAACTGACTGGAAAACTCTTCTGAATCACCTCCATGCTGCACAGGCAAATGAGATACACAGACAGATAGAAGAGCCAAAACCACACAGGCAGTGATACCTTAAATGACCACCAGTCTGGACGTGAGGTTGAAGAACACTACAATTTAGCAGGCCTAATTCTGACCCCAGCTAGAAAGGTTCTCTGCAGCAAGATGCCATGTGTGAACAGCTGGATGCCATTGTGGCACAACATTGCTAGGAGTTCCAGCAAAAAGTGCCACTTTGCTGGCTTGCCTGCAGTTTTCTTCAATGTCCACTGTTAAAAAAAAGTAAAAACAAGTAAAAATAAAAGGTGACAGTACTCACCAGCCGGGCTGAGAAATGCACTGCCTTGCTGGCTCCTTTGGGAAAAATAATGCCTTTTAAAGCTGTCTCTTTTTTTAAGATTTACATTCATTCCTACAACTTGCAGCTTAATTTGCAATAATTCATAATTATCTCAGCTTTCTGTGTGAATTAATCATTTACAGTTATTGCTCGTGGGGAAATTCCAGCTATAAATAATTCTTACTATTTAAGTTGGAAGGCATACCTGGCAGCTTATGTTTTACTAATAACAAGTAATGTACTTAGTCAGCTTTTTCAACCTTTATAACTCTTTTAAGATTTTTTTCTTTGTGCCCAAGAGTCATACTACTAATTACTATGTAGTAAAGCTGTGTGGTAGTTAGATCCACTGAATAATGTGCCTCATTTTCTCCAGGCATCGGTGATATACATTGTATTTTAGTCTGCCTCCATGTAGCCTACATGGAAGTGTGGGTGTGAATGTGTGTCTGTGTATCAATAAACATTTATGCTCATTGGCATAAATGAAGTGGCATGTAGTGTTTGGAGGAGAGAGAGAAAAAGAAAGTAGAAATTTTGTTTTACAAAGGTCACATTTATTAATTCATATTGGTAAGCCACAGCCTGCCTGGATTTATCTGAACAACCCAGATTTAAGACTGTAATGGGCTCACCCAAAAAGTCAGAATGGCTCAGGGTAGACAGATGAGATGCAGGGGAAGAAGAAATACTGTGCAGTTTGGGGTACCTCCTCCAGAAAGAAACAACACATCATTTACTTCCCTTCACGTAGAAGCAGTGACATCAACTGCATGACATGAAAGTGGGGCTGCCACCTCCCCATGCACATGGGAATGATGGCAAGAGGTGCACTCCATTTGTAGAAACTTTTAGTGAGTTTCAGAATGAGGAAATTGTAATCTATGGCACAACATCACTCTTTCAAAATTAGTATTTTGAACCAGAATGTTTGGCTCCGTGTTTGGAACAGCAGCCCAAGTCATGGTGGAATGAAGGCCAGCAGTGCTTGGCTTCACCAGGCCTCGCTGTGCCAACTGCTCCTGCCCCCCTGGCCACTGCCTTGCAGGAGCAGCCTCTGGTGCCATGTCCTGGCATGCCCCAGGTCTCCTTGCAAAGTTCCTGGAAAATCTGGCCTTAAAGAAGCACTAGCAAGGGCTGTGTTACGCTGAGGGCTTAATGTGATCCTTTTCAGGAGAGCTGTCATGCTGCAAAGCTGCAATGGAAACTATTTTTAGTGTTTTAACTGTGTCTGATCACACCGACATTGCTGGCCACAGGTTGGGGATGGTAGCATCTCACTCTGACATATTTTATTGCTCTGACAAGAAAAGAGCATCTGACAAGTTCAATAAAAGCTGGAAAATAATGATGCTAAGTAGCACCTTGTTTTCCCTGTTCCTTCCAAGCTGAAATTGTGTCTGCATAGCCCCCAGGGCAGCCCCCTGCCAGCTCCCTGATCAATGGAAGGCATGCTGGCCTCGGCTTTACAAACCTAATTATTTTCTTCTGAAATCTGTCTGAAACTAAAAGGCATCTGACAAAAAATCTTTCCCATCCCTGGAGGTTATAGGAATTCAGTTATTTCATGTAAATTGTGTTTACTGCTAACGTTTGCACATCTTTTGAAACTGCCGCTTGTTAGGTGGCTTTGTAAGAAACAGTCCCTCTAGCATGGGCTGTGAATGCCATGTATTAAGAGATCTGGTTAGCAATAATGTGTGTGCATATAGGCATCAGTTTGTGCTAGTCTGCATGCACTTGCATGTGTGTATGTGCATGATTAAGCATCAGCTACTTAGATAACTGCACCACAGGTGTGCATCGGGGCATACAAGGGCAAGGAAGAGTTGTGAGGAAGGAAGCAATAGGTCTTGCTTTGGTAGCTTGGTTTCAGAGCAAACACTTGCCTGCACGTTTAGTTTGTGCCTTGACTTGAGTGTGCAGGAAGCTTTAAGGTCAATTTGATCTAAATAACTCTTCACCTTTAACATTTATCTACTGGTTAAAAGATTATCCAGCTTTCACATGATTTTTAAGGCCTCTCCAACAGCCTAACTGAGCTCTGCATCAAAAAGTGAATTCTAC